CCCTCATCCGAGCCCCAGACGCGGCGGACACCCGGAGAGGCAGTTCCTTCGCCCTCGGCGCATTCCCGGCCGGCTCCGCAGAGGAGTGGCAGCGTGAGCACATCCCCTCCCTCCTTAGGACCAGGTACACCCTCTCGCCCCCTACGCCCCAACCAGCCGAGCGGGCGGAGGGGCCGAGGTCTGCGCCCCCTCCCCCGCTGCCAAATTCCGTCCCAGGCAGGGAAGACTTGGTGTCTATATTTGGCCGGACCGTGGCCAGCGCGCAGACACCTCGTCTCTCAGGATCAGAGTGCTGGGACAGGAGGCCGGAGGAGGGTGCGGGGAGGCTGGGCCTCAGGCCTGGTACTGCAGGAGCGCTTGAAGGGCATAGGGATGCCCTGGGCTAAGCAGGGGCAGGAGTCACTGCTCCTTCGGGAGAGCTTGATGTGGTCCCTCGGGAAGAGAGTAGCATAGCACAGGCCCTGGCTAGAGAAAAAGCACCTCACCCTTCCCACCTCTGCAAATCTGGTCCTGGCAGGGAGTGGGTATCAGGGACCCCACACTCAGGAGAGTTTAAGAGGAGAAAGCGCCAGCCAAGGCAGCGGACCCAAAGTACCGTAGGCAGAGGCCACAAGGCCATGTTTGGGGCTTGCAATAGCCAGTGCAGGGAGGAATGGAAGGAGCGATTCACCCACCATACGTGGTGCCCCACCACCACCCGAAGCAGCATAGGAGGAAACTGCTGAAAACGGCTGGAGTAAAGGCACAGGTTAGCTGACAGAAGAAACTGCTCCCGTGGCAAATTTTTGTAAGAAAGTAAAACTCCATCTATGTCAGAGATGCAAGTTTGGGATTAGGGGAGAGGGGCTACCATCCAAGCCCCGCAACTGGCCTTCAGCCAATTCTCAAGACCTCTGATTCTGGACAAGGTGCCTCTAGGAGATACACTTCAGTGAATGTTCACCCAAGGCACTAGAGAGAGCAGCCTGGCATTGAGCTACTCCCAAAACATTCTTTCAGGAAGCTTTCAGACCCTGCCAAGCTCCCCTGTACCCGCCACCTGGGTCTCTAAGGAGAAGCCAGGCTCCCAATCATAGCTCTTCACATTAAACAGCAGTTGACAGGTGGCAAAGAACTGTCCCATATTTTTGTATCTTTGAAGAAAACTACAGGACCTGACTCTTGGTCAAATAACCCTTCTCACCTGCCTTTCCATCCACACCTCCTCCCTCCCACAGCTCACAAGACAAAGGACCAAAGACATTTCTGAGCACTGAGATCCTCCATCTCTCCCCCAGCTATGAGCCGGCGTGTGGTTCGGCAGAGCAAGTTCCGCCATGTGTTTGGGCAGGCAGCAAAGGCTGATCAGACCTACGAGGACATCCGTGTGTCCAAGGTCACATGGGACAGCTCCTTCTGTGCTGTCAACCCCAAATTCCTAGCCATCATCGTGGAGGCTGGAGGTGGGGGTGCCTTCATTGTCCTACCTCTGGCCAAGGTGAGGGATGAGAGGAAAGAAGTGCGTGGGAGGGTGTTGGCTAGGGCCCCTGTGTTCTCACCTGGTTCCATTCCTCAGTAAGGATGGCAGTCTGTGTGGACTGGCTGTTTCCTGTCCCCCATGTCCTCAAGAATTAGTAGGGGAGCTTCTTCACTCCAAGCTGAACAGCAGTGCCACAGTGGCTTACACCTGATCCCCGTCCTGCCACCTCACTGTGTAGTACCCTGTTCCTGGCAGGGACAAGGGAGTCAGGAGATGAATGTGGTTGGGTTGCAGCCAAGGTCCCTGTCTTGCCTAATGCCACACCCTCTCCTGTTTTAAGGCTGGAGATCCTCCTTCTCAGCCCAGGATGACTGATCAAATCACAGCTCAGAGCCACACACTGAAGACAGGGTCAGGCTCTCCAAAGAGGCCTTAGTGGGGGCCGGGGATTTAGCTCAGCAGTTCAGTGGCCTGCCTTGCAAGTGCAAGGACCCGAGTTCAATCAATCCCTGGTACCCAAAAAAAAAAAAAAAATCACAGATAAACAAAGAGGCCTTAGCTACCTCCTCTGGTTTTGTTTGGTTTTTTCACCAGTACTGGGGCTTGAACCCAGGCCCATTCTATTGAGCTACATCCCCAGTCCTTCCTTGAGACAGGGTCTCACTAACTCACTAAGTTTCAGGCATGTGCCACTTCACCGAGCTCCACAGTGGCTCTCACCATGAGGTACAATGACAGTGAAAGGCAGGGGTCCATAACACATAAGACCAGGACTTTCCCTATCCTAGGGAAGAGAGCTAGGCAATGACTGCCACCTTTGTTGTGTAACCTCAAGACCCTTGGCTCTCTCCACCCTCAGCATGAACATGTCAAAGTGTGGCCCCTATACCTTGTTGGGGAGGCCTCACGAGTGACAGGGCCTGACAATAGCCAGTGACTCCCCCTAGACAATGATGGCACCATCCAGCGACACCATCCTCAGGGCTCAAATTTCAGCTAGAACTGCCTCTCCCAGTATTACTGCCATTTAAATGCCACATAATCACCTCCTCTGCTACTGCCTGGTCTGGGTCAATGCCAGCCCCTGCAGAGGCCTCAGAGCCCCTACTAGGAGCACAAGGAGATCAAAAAAAGGTAGTACCCCCAAGCCCTAGTTTGGAAGATAGCAGGCACCAGGGTTGCCTGCTACTTGTGGTTCCAAGGTGAAACCAATGACAAGAGAGAGATCTGCCAATGGTGGCTAGGGGCATGGCCTTGAGGATTACCTCACCTTGAATTCTTCCACCAGGGCCTTCCCAAAGACATTCCAGTTGGGGGAACAGACTTAAGAACTGCCTCCTCCAAGTAGGTGACTTTGGAAAAAGTACTAAGCTGAGAGTTAAAATCTAGGGTCCACCAGTACCTTGTGGATCATTGCTTAACTCATTTCACTTTTCTGTGTCAGGTTCCTCAATATTAAATTATTTTGGGCCAGGGATTTAGTTCAGTGGTTCTGCCACTTACCTCACAAGCACAAAGACGCAAGTTCAATCTCTGGTACCAATATATAT